TTGTGTGAAGAGGAGATGAAACAGTATGGACTAACATGGATGGAGGTGAAAAGTACATCAGAAGACAGAAACAAGTGGAGACGTGCAGTGGAAGCCCTTTGTTCCACTAGGAACCCAAAGGAACAATAATAATAATGAATAATAAACACTATAAATAACCAGTAAATCTGAAGACTACGCTAACCCTAATACTTTCTATAGTTATAATATACATCTGCTTTAGATATTTATACCGTAATACACCAACATTGTCTCAATAAATACATAAATGAGAACATAAACATAGTGTCAGTATTTAGGCTATACACACAGTTTTTGTCACGTGAGCATATTGTAAGTAGGTAGCTGTGAAAATTACTCACTACTTAACCGATAAGAGAAACCATAATAGTCATCCAAATTGTCTTTAAGTACAACAAAAAAAATCAACTCATCACACTGTTGTAATCATACAAGATTGCTCACTATGTGCGTATCAAGAAACAATTGATATTACAAAATCAATATCTCACGCACAGTATACAACAACACTACACTTTTCTCATCTTAAATTCAATTGAATATTAAGAGATGTTTTATTAAGCGCAAAATATATATATATGTATATATATGAACTGTGCATAAAAACAAACTATCTTGTAAGTGTTCATTTAATTGAATTCTAGATTTCCCCGTCGATTGATTGGACCGAAGTGCTCAGTCTTACGTTGACACTTCGGCTTCTTGTGCAGATGCTTCGACGATGTCTGGGCATGAAGTTAGAATTTAACTGGTAGATGGTGACTAGTATTGGAATCAAGGATGCGCATTTCGTCCTATTTGGGACTCGTCAGGCACATCCAGATGACGAGTCTCAAGTAGGACGAAATGCACATCGTGGATTCTGCTGCTAGTCACCATCCACCAATTAAAAATATCTTGTAAGTGAATTACAAAGCTAAAATATATATCACTTGTTTGCAATTGTGTTTTGAAAACAATAATGCCATCTATCTAGATAATGTATACAGCATTAGTTAATCATTCTACAGCGGAAAAAACAGGTGCAAAAAAGGATAAGTTCACAAGATGATTGAACCGACCAAGCCTAACATATTTTCACATATGTAGATAGGAAATTATAACATGTACAGTAACCGTAGCCCACACACCAGATAACTTTATAAAAGCTGATAAAAACATATTGACCGCCATATATATATATATATATATATATATATATCAGAAGAATACCTCAGTTAGATATAAGATTGCTAAGGTAAATAAAATACCATATGTTAATATCATTTACCATGATAACTGCATTAGTCTTCTCATAAAGCTATTTTCGTTAAACAAACATTGTGTGTAGGCAAGCCATGGGAGATGAAAAAAAACTCTATATGAACAGTATGGTCCGATTACTTATCATCAATTTCTTGATTTCTGAGCGGAACACATGGATTCAATAGCACATCACCATTACACGAGTTCTCATAAGCTTTCATTTTCTCCTCACACGATCTTCACCGTGTCACCCTTAGACGTCCAACTTGCCGTTGGTATCCTCAGAGAGTTCCCCGATCCACCTAAATTTCTTTCCACATAATTCCTGGACCATAGGTTCTTGGTTGATTCGTTACCAGAGTTAGTCCCTTGTTGTTAATCTTTTCTGGTTATTTGATCTTCACTATCGAGTGACGGTGAGTCAGTGGCATAGCGGTTAGGACGCTCGCCAACCATGCACATGGTCCGGGGTTCGATCTCCGGCCGACGCACTCCTTTACCTCGCTAAACCAGAAATAATGCTGGTGAAGAGGAAAGTTTGGGCATGAGGCTAGCAACCCCATCCTGTAAAATAAACACTGCTACAGAAACTTCAAGCCACTAGCTTGAAGCCCTATGTTCCACTGGGTAACGTGAAGGAAAAAAAAATCGAGTGACGGCAGTAGGTGTCAACGAAAGTCCGCAGCCGTTACAGACACATTAAGTATCTGCACTGTATAGAAGCAGTGACTTGACAGCTGTTTCGCCCTAGTTTGGGATTCGTCGACAGTACACACCCACCTCTAGGTTTCAAAGTCAGGACCTTCCGGTTGCAAGGCAGGCTCGTAGCCAATTCAGCCACTGGGACCTGATTCGATGGCCCTACAAACTAATTTTTGAAAAATTATTCTGACACTCGTTAGTGGCTGACTACAAAATGAAGTTACCTGGAGTTCTGGTGAGAAGTCGTGACCAGTAGGGTACATTCGGTTGGGAGTAAGGACGAATGCTCACCACTGACGACACTGGCTGGTGGTCGCGCTAAAATCGCGAACTGATGGAAACTAGAATTCATGAACGATTAAGACTGGTCCCAGTGACTGAATCATCTACGAGCTTGCCTTGTAAGTGGAAGGTCCTGGCTTTCAAAACCTGGTGGTGGGTGTTTATTGCCGATGAGTCCCAAACTAGGCTGACGAAACAGCTGTCCAGTACTCCCTGCTGGTTTTCAGTGGTTCTCTAACTGATATCAATCAGTAGTCTAACCTGAAACAAAAGGAATCCCTACAAACTAATTCTTGATTTTAGATTATTGACGGTGTGTCGTGTTTATCTGATCCTGACATTCTCATCTGTGCCGTCTGTAGTTGACACGATACTACCTAGGTAAGTCAAAAAGTGACCTCTTTCAAATTTCGCCCGTCAACAGTGGTTGGTGCTTGTTGTTTTTCGTCGCCGAGTATCTTCATCACCTGTCTTCCCCATACTCACTTGAAGTCTAGTCTTCGCTGCCAGCCTCTTCCGCTAACTTACTGTTTTTCATCTGTAGATCTGCAAGTTTGTGTGACTCTAAACATAAATCATCTACAAAATCCAGATCTTCTAGCATCTTTTCACCAGTTCAACGTATGACCATCTTCTCGATCCCCACGGTCTGTTGCATGATTTACAGTTCACCACAATCAGGAATATCAACAGTGACAATAGGAAGCCTTGTCTTACTCCTGTCTTCGTTGAGCTTTTCGTTGTGAATCACTTGGAATGTGTCATCATCAAATTATTGGCTTACTAACTATGAATTAATACCACATTCTCTTTACTTCAACATCGAGAGGATTTCATGCAACAAATTACCAATATGAGTAATAGACTGTTGTTGTCTGACACCAATATGTTACTGTACTTAATCGAATACAATGGAAGATAATCAGCAAACACCATGAATTAGTAAACTGATATAAAACAAATACAAGTGGATATAGAATGATAGTTCTTGTAACTTGTAACTAACTAACTATTCCCTTGGGTTTCGAGTGGAAAACAGAGCTTCTACAAAACATCCCAACTTTCTTCTATTTTCTGCTGTCCTCTTCAGGTGGGCTCACGATTAATCATAATCCCTTATCTCCTCCTCACAGGATCTTCTCCATGTCATCCTCACACTGACGACCCACTCGAGCGGTGGCATACATTGCACGCGATGTCACCCAATGGCCTTCTGAGTGTGTGGCCTATCCATCACCACTTTCTCCTGCATATTCGTTGAGCAATAGGATCTTGGTTACTTTGTTCCCATAGTTTTCTGTTACTAATTCATTCTGACCAGCCGACCATTTGATCTTCAATATGGAGCTAGCGAAGGCAGCTGTTGATAAAAGTCCGCAGAGACCTGTGGGAATTCCATTTCGTGACACACAAAGCAAGTTTCTGACCGGTATGCAAGAAGTGACTAACTGACTTCACATTTGTGTTGAAAATTCGAATCATGTCCTTCATGCTGGTTGAGTGCAGATTTCCAAACTGGTTTCAGGTTGATGAAGACGTATCTTGCCTTTCCGATTCTGCTTGGCTTTCACATATTCATCCGTGCTATCCGTCTGTAGTTGAAACTGTGCTTCCCAGATAAGTGAAGGAAGTAGCCTCTAACAAATCTCTCCCGTTGATGGTGATAGATGCTGGTTATTTTTACTGTCAGTTGGTTATCTTTATCACTCCCGTCTCCTCTATTTTTAAAATTAGGGATTTTTGACAAGAAATGCATCTTGTAATCAAGGAAACAGATTCATGTATACACATAAATACAAACCAAATCTAATCTAATTCACAAAGAAATCACCTACTCGTCCTAAGTATTACGACTAATCACCACATCGTGGATACGATCGAGCATAGTCACAGCTAGATTTTTCAGTAAGTGGTGGTCAGCAACAGCAAGTTAAAGCTGTGACTTGACTTATACACTGAAAAAGAAGAAGCAGAAGAAGAATACAGGTAAATCTAACTACAATCTCAACTTTCTTTTTCCCAAATGCCACAGAGGAAAGACAATGACTGAAGTTTTAATTAAACGTGCAATTATGCAATTCATTTAGTATGCTTCATTCAATTTTTAAAAAAATACTATATCTGTATTCGCACTCAGCATCAAAAATAAGATCCGGATTTTCAACTCCAATGTGTAGCCAGTCAGAGCTACTCACTGTACGGATCAGAGAATTGCACTGCACGTCATTAAGAGCATCTCAAACAAACTACAGACCTTCATTAACAGCTATCTTCGCTCAATACTACTCAAGATCAGATGGCCGGCCAGAAAAGATCAGCAACAAGGAGGGATCTCTGGGAGCGAACCAACCCAGCAGGAACCGATTGTGAAACAAATAGGCAGGAAGAAATGGAGATGGATTGGCTGGCCATACTCTCAGGAAACAAGCCATCAAGTGACATCACTAGACAAGCCATTGCTCGAGTGGAACCCGGCTGAATGGGAAGCGGCGAGTTGGTCGTCAGTGCAAAGGTGACTTGGAGGAGGTCATTTGAAGAGGAGATGAAAGTGTGTGGGCAGACTTGGAGCCAGGTGAAGACTCTAGCAGAGAACCGAACTCAATGGAGGGAGACGCGCCGCTGAAGCCCTATGTTCCTCTAGGAATTAAGGGAAACAATAATAATAATAATAATGTCTGCACCACACAAATTAGGGAGTAGGTTATCCATTCGCTTTTCATGACGTGAAGAAAGCAACAACAACATTGAAGCATAAATATATTTATTATTATTATTAATATTATTTTTTTAGAGATTTTAATTTCTTTACAAACATTGTGTGTGTATGTATATATGCGTGTGTGTTTGTGTGTATTTATATCTTGTTGTATGAATTTACTCTGTGATGACTGGACAATGAAAACGAAGAGGAAAGAGGGAGAGAGAGAGAGAGAAACTTCTATCCGATAGATAATGGGGTATAAAGAAAGGTATAGTCAGAAATTGTCAACCAAAGAAGAGCAAAAAAGATGGAAAGAAAGAAAGAAAGAAGAAAATTCCTGTTGCCAGCCTACTTATCGCCTAAACAAGAGAAAATCGAAAGAGAGAGGAATAATTAAAATATAATATGCACAGCAAAAAAAATAAAGAAGATATTACGATTAAAGTTGTTGGTTAAAATGATACTTTTATTTGTTAAGAAGAAAACAATAATAAAATAATAATGATAATAATAATAATAAAAAAGCCATACCGTATGTACATACATACATACATCGATAGATAGGAACATAAAATAACTTCAAGGATGTAAAACAACTGTAAATCTTGAATAAAACAAGGAAAAATTAGTGTAAATAACTTTGGTAAAATTTGGATATCATTAACAACGTTTCATAGGGAAAAAGAATAAATGTGAGTGATAGTTGTCAGCCAGCCAGTCAGGAGGAAATACAGGAATGATTAAACATACATATATTATCAAGTATGCAATTCAATTTGATCAAAATTTAGTTGTTTGTGTAGTACTACTGCAACAATAAAAACCAATAAAAACATGCTTCAAATATTATGTATATATTACTTATATATATATTATTTATTTATTTATAATGGAATTAAACCTGTTAAAAATTGTGTCTTCCTTAAAATACAACACATTTAAATACACTGTTTATATGGATTGTTGGAAGACACATAAAAAAGGCGAAATAGAGAATCAGAGTGAAAAGAGATCTTTGAAAAGACATAAAAAGGATAAGACAAGACGGTAGTATAAGGAAAATGGGTGAAAAGTGTTCATTGTGTGCTAAGGTTTGAGAGGGGTGGAGGGGCTGGAGAGAAACATTATCCAACACATTTACCGGACATATATTCTTCTATAATATAGAAGGTGAATTATAATCGAAATTCTGGAAATTGAATTGATCTGCTTCAAGAAGTGGTGGACGTTCTTTGGCTGGTGTAAGAACTGCTCGTTCCTTGGTGAATTCTTCATCGAAGTTGGATACATCTTCAGGATTAGACTAGAAATTAAAACAAAAGAAGGGGAAAAATTGTTATTCACTCTCAAATATGTATATGTAAATAAGTATACTTAAATGATGAACAAGGATCCATGATAAGCACTGTTTTACAAGTTTAATATGCTTGTGGTAAAATAGAAAATAATGCTGGAAGTGCAGCTATGCCTGACTTCTACAGTATTTAAATTCCAAAGGGAAATACACAAACAAACTGAGAGAGTTGCTATGTCGTCACGAATATCCCGGATTGGCGTAGACGTGATATCCGACTATCGACCAAAGGGCGCGTGTACTGCTCATCATTTCGCTCCGTCCTCCTTTATGGCTGTGAGACCTGGCCATTGAGAGCAGAAGACATGAAAAGATTAGCTGTCTTTGATCATAGACGTCTGCATTCTATCTCCCGCGTGAAGTGGTATAATAGGGTGAGCAATATTGAGGTTAGGCATAGGTCGAGTGCTAGGTAAAGAGGGGAAATCAATCGACGAGGCTGTGAAGCTACATCGACTGAGATGGTTAGGACATGTGTTAAGTATGCCAAGTCATCGCCTTCCTCGACCGACGAGCAATGTTAGCTGATATAGGACCAGGCTGGAAAAGATCCAGTGGTGGTCAAAACAAAACATGGCTTCATTAGTCAATGAAATCCACAACAGTTAATGTAAACCACGTCGGGAGGTGTTGACTTCCTGGTTGGGGTCCTCGGGACGGTAAAAACCAATGGTTGGAAACAATAGGTGACATGGCCCAAAATCGTTCTCAATGGTGCAGATGCATCCACTCCATGTGACTTATGATTTCCAATGAAACTGTTTTATTCTTCGTTATTACTATACCTTTATCTCACACCTCTGTTTACTGTCTCTAATATGCATTTCTCCTACTTTTTTCTCTTCTCTTGTGTGCTAAATGGAGTGTGGCGACTTGAACTGCTGCACATCGGTGCAAAGTTCTAGGTCGAAAACAGACAGATAGATATCGCGGATTGTGGTAGATACATTCATGAATAGGTGGGAAAATTTAGCAATTTAAACATTCAACCCCACTTCAAAAGTATGGTGGAGGTATGTAGATGATACATTCACCACACTTACAACACAGGATATAAATATATTTTTTGAACACATCAACTCAAAAGTGGAGGCAATTCAATTCACTTATGAATTTGAAAGTCAGGAAGGGAGGAAGCTTCCAATGTTAAAGTGTAGTGTTAAAAGGAAAGAAGATGGAAAGTTAAACACTAGTGTTTCCAGGAAACCTACACATTCAGACCGATATCTGGATTTCCGATCATCCAATCCTATGCCAGTAAAAATAGGATTGATGGAGTGTTAAAGTAATAGGGCAAAAAAAGCTAAGTAGTAGCAAGAAAGATGTAAGACAGGGAGTGAGGCATATAAGAGAAGCATTGAAACTTAATAATTACCCTGATAAATTAGTCAGAAAGGATGTAGGAAAATGTAAAAATAAAATTAGTAATAATAATAATAGTAATGATATGCGTGTCAAACATGCACATGATAATGACAACACCAACAATAGGGATTATAAATCATCAGTAGTACCTCCATAGAAAGGGACCTCGGAAACCTTACGCAGAATTCTTAACAAGGCAGAAATAAAAGTGGTTGCCATTCAAAACCACAAACCCAATTCGGAATAAGGTTTGTCGGTAAAAGGATTCTGTGGAGCCAATTAAACAAAATTATATAGTTTATCTATTACCCTTCAGTGATTGTCAGGACAAATACACAGGTCAAAATAGTACAACCAGGGCACAAAAACCTAGCGAAATCTAGACTAGTTGACCTTGATAAGATAAGAAATCTGGAGAATAGTTCAGTTATATCACTACATGCAATGGCACACAACCATACAATAGGATGAGATAAGAATCACAGTTTTAAAATCTAATGCAACAGGGTGGGGTGAGAGATGGATAACGGAAGCTTTGTTTATCGAATCAACTGCAAACACGTGTAATAGGAATGATTCAACATCTGTCCCAGATATGTGGAAAATTCTGAAGAACTCAAATGAGTTCATTTTATGCTGAAGATGTTGTCCAGAAGGACGACGAAAGCTTCGCAATAAAATCAACCAGCTCAGAGAACACAACTAATTCAAAATCATCTACCTGAGCTACAAATCTTCCCAGTTATTTCAACATCTTAAGAGTGTGATACGCTTCTGTGTTGTTGAAAATGAGAGGACTTGGCCAGAAGGCAAGTTTCTACAGAAGGACAACTACTTTTTCTTCATGAATGTCTCCGTCAACAGATTCTGCCAACCAGTGTCAAATATAAACCACCAATCAACTGCCCTCTGAAGTAGAAATTAGCCAAAACAACACGGAAAACAAATGGTGAAACTAATAATCACTGATGCACACAATCGGATTAAAGAATACCAGCATATGCTTAAATTTCAACACAGAACATCTATCAACACTGAACACAGCCATTAAAATATTAAGTGAACGACACAAAGAACGAAGCCTAGTTGTCATAAAAGGAAAACTAGCTAAGATATCCCAACAGCCATCTGAAGAAACTCTAAATGATTGCGTAGTAAATCTACCGAAAAACAACCATTATCGAAAACAGAAGAACAACTTCTTCAGAATGGACGGAACTACAATACTGGTGACACTTGAATAACAGATTTCTGTGCTTCCTTAGAATCATCAGTCAAATCATCAAAATTAATTGAGGAAGTACAACAAGAAATACGTCAATGTATCATATCTATAGTCAAACAGAAAAGACAATTCTCAACTTAGCACTCAAGAGTGAAATGCATTGAAGAAAATGAAGAATAGAAAAGACATAGTTATACTACCGGCTGACAATGGAAGAACAACAGTAATCATGCACACAGAAGACTACATAAAGAAAGCAGATGATCCACTCAAAGATAGTAATGTATAATCAACAAGTTGACGAAAAACCCTATACAAACATTAGATAACAAAATCAAAATAGTACTAAATAAACTAACGAAATCACGACAAATTACAAAACAAGATCAATGGTGAATGAAGTCTAACGAACATGTTTTACGTTGATTTTACGGTAGACCGAAACTACACAAACCGACAATTCCCTTGCGACTAATCGTTTTGCTGCCAGGAGCACCAATATATAATCTGTCTAGAGAACTTTTCAGAAAATTATAATACCTAACACAATCTTGCGACCATTCTATCAATTCGCCAATCCGATTTTTAAAGAGAATCAAAAACATTCAAGTAATAGACAATGAAATAATGGTGTCCTTTGATGTCACAGCATTATATACTTCAATTAGTCCAAAACTAGCAAAAGAAAATATTCAACGATTACTGTGTAGCGATGATAACAAAAACGGAATGTTCAACTTGGATAGAACCCATAGAGTTATGTCTTACAACATACTTCCAATTCAATACTCAAATATACGAACAGATAAAAAGAACACCAACGGGATCGCCCATATCAGGATTAATAGATGAAGCCGTCATGCAAAGATTAGAATTAATAGCCCTATCTGTAATAAAACCAAAAATCTGGACACGTTAAGTTGATGATACATTTGTAATAATTAAAAGAAATTATTTGGAATATACCTGTAAATTAATAAACAACATATTTGAAGACATTAAATTCACAAGAGAAGAAGAATTAGATAACAAAATCCCATTTTTAGATGTCGTAATCAGGAGAACCAACACAGGAGATTTAGAAACACAAGTATAGAGAAAATCAACGCACACAGATCAAATACTCAACTATACTAGCAATAATCCGATTACTCACAAACGAAACTGTGTGCAGACATTGTTTAAAAGAGTTCAAACACACTGTTGCACTCCAGCGATGAAAAGAATGGAGAAAAAATACCTACTAACCGTCCTCAAGAAGAATGGATATCCCCCTCACAATTTCATCGAAAAGTATTTAAACTCGAGTCACAGCACCAACAAGAAACCATCATCGAAGACTACAAGAAAATTCATTCTACCACGTCGCTGAAATAACAGCTAGAATATTGAGACCGTTTGAAATAGATAAAGCACACAAGCCAGTCAGCCCAATCACTTCACTCGATATTGTGCAAACCAAAAGACTCAACAGAAAAATAAATTTTATGAACTGCAATAGACATTACATCGGTCAAAGTGGACATCCCTTTCGAATCAGAATGCAGGAACACAAATTAGCTGTAAAAAGGCATGATATGTATATTCTTTCATATCAATGCATGTAGATAACTATGGACACCACTTTGATCAGGATAATGTCGAAATTTTAAACAGAGAAAACACAAAAAGTGCCAGAGAATTGCTAGAAGCCTGGTACTTAAGTGAATCAGTGATTAACAAACATATTAACGTAGACAGAATTTACCAGCTAATAAAAAGTAAATCACGTGACAAGAAAGTTCAAATTCCAAGTCGGTAAAAATGATCAATAGAAATGTAAATCAACTACCAGTCACAAAGATGGTAGCCAGGAGATACAATTCATCTATACATGAAGAATTCAAATGAGTTCATTTTATATTAAAACCCGCACTGAAGATATTGTCAAGAAAAAAACTCTATTAATTTTACTACCCTTGCGACAAATAGGAAGAGAGAGACAAGGTCATAAAAAGGAAGTTTCGAAATTGTGTGATTATAATTGTGTTCGAAACCTCGTCATCGAGTAGAGAATAATACTGTTTCACTGTGTGATATATCTAATAATATCAAATTAATATGGAGTCATTTCACCATTAGCTGACATCACTTAGAGAACCACTGGAAAACCTAGGAGTATTGGACAACTGTTCCGTCCTAGTTTGGAACTCTTCATCAGGACGCACCCACATTGCGGTGTTAGAACCCAGGACATACTGGTTACAAGGCAAGCGAGCTCGTGGACCGTTGAGCCACTGGAACCCGATCCCATGGTCCTTGAATTCTAACTTCTGCCAATTCGCCATATAGCACGACCACTTCGCAATGTCTTCTTCGATGAGTTACTGCCTCATCTTCAACCTGCTGTACCCTACTGGTCACGGCTTCCCCAGGTTAACTGCCTGAATAAGGTCAGTCACTAGTGAGCATCAGATTAATTTTCAAGTATTGCTTTTGTAGGGATTTTGTTTGATTGGATGGAGGATTTCATTATTAGCCGACATCGAAGAAGACATTGCGAAATGGTCGCGCTACGTCGTGAATTGGCAGAAGTTGGAATTCAAGGATCACTGGATCGGGTCCTAGTGGCTCAATGGTCTACGAGCTCGCCTTGTAGCCAGAAGGTCCTGGGTTCCAGGACCGCAGTGTGGGTGCGTACTGATGAAGAGTCATAAACCAGGATGGAACAGTTGTCCAGTACTCCCAGGTTTTCCAGTGGTTCTCTATGTGATGTCAGCTAATGATGAAATCCTCCATGCAATCAAACAAAATCCCTACAAAACCAATACTTGAAAATTAATATGGAGCCAGTTATTATATTTTACCATTTGGAGTAATTCATTAAAATTACTGCATATAACACTTAAATTTTAGCAAACAGTAAAATATGTTGAATGTATTTTTCTTCTACCCCTTTTAAAACAGTAAGCAGTAGAATATGCAGAGAGCATAAACCGATGCAAGTCGACATAGCAGTAATCTGCGTCAGTTTTATTATTATTGTCATGAAAGCATAAAATTCAGCTTTAACGATGATTAGCAAAATGATAAAACTTACAACAACGGGAACGAATGGTGGTTTTATTTTACGAGCTAGAAGAGCTGCAAAGTCAAGTTTACGGAAGAACGGTTGCCTTTTAATCTCTTCAGCATCTTGAGCAGAAGATCCTAGTCGTTGTGCAGCATTTCGTCGTAGAAGACGTCGCATTATTATAGTAGCTTCCATGCTTAAATGACGGGGATAGCGGACTTCTTGATTGACTATACTGTCGAAGATTTCTTCTTCACTTTCACCCGGGAAAGGACACTAAAAACGGAGAAATGACGGTTAAACGACTTTAGTATAATTGTAATGTAACTTTCGCTAGATAATCAATAAAATGATACAGTTATCATAACCCAGAAAACAGAGATCTATGAAACGGCTCGAAAAAGCAGTAAAGGTTAAAATTAAGTCTTAAAATATGTAACTTCCTGGCTAATAAAAATACTCACCGGTCGGGATGCCACTGATTTAAACATCACACGTAAAGCTCCCCATTTAACGGGAAGTATTAGCTCAAAATACCACTCTAACCGAGATTTTTTAGTCACAAGAGATAATTACTAAACTGCGATAGATCTAGCAAATCGCAGTGATTATGTCCAACTTTCATTGCCATGAGAAATACCATGACTATGAACATTGTAGGTCACTAGAAAAAACAGCTAAGTGCTGAATGCGTATCTTCGTTTCATCCTGTTCTTTGCAGTTCTGTTCAGCTGGATCCAAGACTGCTCATAAGCTCTCATCCCCTCCTAACACAATTTCCTCTATGCCACTCGTAGACCTAAGCCCAAGTCGCCATTTCCCATTCGGGTTCCACTCGCCGGCCTAGTTCACGATGTCACATAATGATCTCCTCAGTGTATATCCGATCCAACCTCACTTTCTTCGGCATATTTGTTGAGGAATACGTTCTTGGTTTTTTTTCGTTACCACTACCAATCGTGAACTCGTTAATCTTGTAAGCTTTTGACTGACGATGAGTAGGAGAATTCCTAAACCTATGAATCATGAGGAAATAGCACTGCAACAACATTTCCAAAGAAAAAGCTCTAATATTATTGATTTCATTTCTTTAGCCTGAAGTAGATTAATATAAGAAATCTATCAATTATGAAAAGAAAACTTTGCATTATTCTTACCTCACCAACAAGCATTTCAAAAATAAGTACACCCAAACCCCACCAGTCGACAGCGCGGGTATACGAAGAATCTGTGAGCACCTCAGGAGCCAAGAATTCAGGTGTCCCACAAAATGTAGACGTTCGATCGTCTGGGCCCATACCTTCTTTACACAAACCGAAATCAGCCATTTTTACAAATCCCTCGGAGTCCAAAAGTAAGTTGTCCAGCTTTAAATCCCTGAAAATTGTTATATACATAGATATATTCATAAGGCATATATTGTAAGTGTAGGTTAATTAAAACAAACAATACAGATTCATGATCCCAAAATGCTTCGAGTAATGCACAAATAGCGTGATCAAACAACAATGGAAGTCTTACAAGTTAAAATGCTAACTGACGAAAGGAAATTTTTAGTGATTTAGTTGGAAATTCACAGTTAAGAGGCTGTGATGACCTTTTGCACTAACTAGTTTTGCTGCAAATGTGTTTATGCTTAAAATAAACAAATAAAACAAATGTCAAGCATATTTAGCAGTTTGCTTATGCAACAAGCATTAGGTATTACCGCGTATTATGCCAAAATAACATAGCGAGAAAAATTATTAGAATTGGTTAAATTTTTTAATAAACAAGTTAGTAAATTTAATAAAAATGAGCTGAGTGAAACAAAAAGAAATATAATTATTTCCAAGTATTGGTTTATGGAGATATTCTTTGATTTGTTGGAGGATTTCATGAGCTGACATCGGTTACAGAACCATTGGAAAACCTGGGAGTACTAGACAGCTGTTTCATTCTAGTTTGCAACTCTCCATCAGTAAGCACCCACTGCCAGGGTTCGAACTTAGTACCTTCTGGTTACAAGGCGAGCGAACCAGCAGATCATTCAGCCATTGGGACCTGATCCCATAGCCCATGAATTTTAACTTGTACCACCACTAGCAATGTCTTCGGCAAGTATTTGTCTTCACACCCGACCTGCTGTATCCTACTGGTCACTCTCAAGTTTTCCAATGGTTCTCTAACTGATGTCAGCTCATGATGAAATCCTCCAACCAAATATAATTATTGTTTAATCTTATTAGATGAAAATTATCTTTTAATGAACTGATACAATAAATTTCAATATGAGCATTTTAGTCATAAAGTGAATGAATACTGAACGACTGAAGGATAGACGAATGGAACGTTAGAAAGACTACTTTGAGGAGTAATTTAATTGACCTACAGTCACGGTCAACTTACCCAGCATTCAACGTCTCCCTGGATAGGATATAAACGCAGATCCTCCGTCTGCGAGGTTAAAAAGCTGTCACTATTCTGAAAAAAGGCAAAGCAGCGGGATCTGATGGAATGACTCCAGAGACAGTTTACTGTCTGAGTTAAGAGAGGCTTGGTGAAGTGTCTATTTAAGAGGATTCAGCGTATTTGCACGGCTGATGTTATAGACAAGGAAAATGAAATATTGATGGATACTCTTGTTGAAAACGGATATCCTTTGAAGTTTTTAAACAGGTGTAGAAGTCAACTAGCCTCTAAACCTACAATCCATACCGTCCCTAAGAAAAAGGTTTTCATCAAATTACCACATAATGGGGAAATAAATAGTAGGATTTTGAGACAAAGGTTGAATTCCATCATCCGTAGAACCTACTATGCAGCCCAGCTTGTAATTGTCGAAAAGGCTAAAAATATGCTTCACTGGAAACCTCAAAAGTGCACAAGTGATTATATCACATCCCATACAATTTACCAATTTTCGTGTGTGTGTGGACATACATACATAGGGAGGAGTAATCGCGCGTTGCACGTGAGGGTGGGAGAGCATATCCCAAAGTGGTTAGTAAAACAGATGAATTGTAACAAGCCAATAGATGCAGGTGTCAGACTACGAACTTCGTCTATAGCTAAACATTTAATCGAGATGAACCATAAGGTTGATGTTAACTCAGCGTTTGAGGTCATCTATAAAAACGGTCAAGGACGTTTATTGAAATACGCTGAGGCTATAGCCATTCATAAACTTAAGCCCCCCTTGTGTATTCAAAAACAGTTTGTTATTATTCTTAACCTACCTTGGTAATCCTTATTTGATTGGATTACCATACGTTTGTGTTAATTATTCTTAATTCTTTTTTTGTCACCTTGTTTAATTTAACTTTTCCATATATATTGACTTGACAAGTAAATGTGTGATCAGATTGTTCGAAATGTATAGCGCTAATACATCACATTTTTCAGATAATCTCCGTCTTCTAATAATGCTATCAAAATTTATAAAACGGACTAACTGTTTTAACTAAGATACTAGACAGCGTCTGGGAATCAGAGGTAGTCCCCTCGAGTTGGTGTAAGCCATTGATTATCCCGATAAACAAGAAGGGAGACAAGTCTTCCTGTGATAATCACAGGGGGATCAGCTTGGCTAATATGGTATCTAAAGTTCTAGGTTCAGTAATCATGCGGAGACTAAGCGTTGGTCGGGAGGAAATAACACGAGAGATTATGATTAATAATGTCCAATAAAACCCTATTGTTCTTCCATATTACTATTCTTTTTCCTTCACAATTCTGTTTATTAGCCCTCTTCTGAACTTCTCTTTACTCTCATCTCCTAATTTGTATGGAGGGGGTGTGGCAACTCGAACTGCTGCAAATCGGTGCAAAATTCGACGTTGAAACCAGTCAATCAGTTAGACTGAATACAGTATAGAAAAATTTATTGTAGTAATATACTAACAATAATGCATGATATACCAGAATATAACACACAAGAAAACATGACCTCCAGTAAGTCAACACTTACCGATATACAATCTTCTTTGAGTGGAGAAACTCAATACCTAAGACAACACATCCAGCATAAAATACAGCACGTGGTTCCTTAAACACATCTTGCTGAATATGGAGCATAAGATCACCGCCCTGAGCATACTCCATGACAAACATTACATGTTCCTATTATCAAGAGAAAAAAAGTGGAATAACACACAATTTGTATGATAGTTAATACAAATCAGTTAAAGGCCAGTGATTATATGATGCTTTTTGATATGACTAACTAGCCAAAACAAAAGGCAAACAAAGCGCCAAAAACCTCTTAGAAATTGACTGAAAACTTAACTTATTATTGTATTATTATTATTCCCTTGGGTTCCGAGTAGAATATAGTGCTGCAAATCTATTATGACTAATCACCACCATTGTCTTCCATTTTACAATATTTTGTAATCGATTTCAGCCTAACACGTTTGTCACAAAAATACGACTATTTATTTTGACACCCCATAATTAATCTGTTATTCTACGTAGAAAATGTATCCGCCGCATAACTGGGCATTATTGTAACGACAAAAAATATTATATTTTATAATTGTAAGAACCTGAAGAGAAATTATTGAAAAGAATATTCTTCGTTCAGATTGACTTTTAATGCATTATATGGGAATATTTCATACTTAAATAATAATAATAATGGTTCTATCAATAATAAGGATGAAAAAGTGAGGCGATGTGTGACAACAAGAATAACGAAAAACATGATTAAACGAACAAATGTTCAGGTAGAAGTAGTCGATAAAGGCTAAGAAAAACAAAATGAACCGATTACATAATACTACATTATAAGGGAAGTAAATGAAATACGTTCTAATGAAGATGTGATAAGATTAAGGGAGGATAAGAGAGAGGTTCAAAATATAAGTAAGGGGTGGTAAAGTCATCAGTTAGCTATGTCTTAAGAGGCCAAAGGAGGGATAATGGTATTCTTGTTATCACAGATCGCCTCGCTTTTTCATCCTTATTGATAGAACCACTATTATTATTATCATTACGATTATTACGACTAATTGCACAATCTTATTATCCTATAGACCAAAACACCATGATTGGTTTACATTTGAATATTTATTTGTGAAGTTCTGCATATCAGAGTTAAGCCTGATGAGATTTAATTGAAAACAAAATAAGTAATCAATATTTGGTCATTTGACAAGATCGTAATCCTGTGTAAAAACTGCCTACTTTTGCACAACAGAGCTACTTTCAGATTGAACCCAAAACCATCAAATCAGAGATGATAGGTGGAACCTGCAAAAGGCTATACACATGTTCGACTTCTGTAACATTATATTTACAATTCAACTGAATCCCAGCCAAACCATCAACTGTGGAGTCATATAGTTATTAATGTGTGGAAAAACTATCGCCTCCAAATGTGACATATTAACGTAATGCAAGTAGATCGAATAGTACAAGCAGTCATCAGATAAAACAGTAATTAAGTAGATGTACACATCGCATCGGTGGTATAGCGGTTAGGACGCTCGCCGACCATGCACATGGTCCAGGGTTCGATCCCGGCCGGCGCACTCCTTTGCCTCACTCAGCGAGAAGTAAAGCTGGTGAAGAGGAATGGTTAGGCATGAGGCTAGCAACCTCATTCTATAAAAATAAACACTGCTACAGAAACTTCAAGCCTCTAGCTTGAAGCCGTATGTTCCACTGGGAACGTGAAGGAAAAAAATATATACACATCCCCGATGGTCATCGCACATGGATGTGAAAGCATGAATAACCGAGTTAAGTAGAAATTATGTGATGAAATAATGTGGTGACTAGATTTCAAAGTATCACAATTTAACCTGGGAAACACGAACTTATAATCTATGGCGGGAAAAGAAATTTACTTATGGTGCTAATTAGCAAACCCTGGATATATATACATGAGTGATAATGTATATATAAATCGAGTTGAGGAAACAAAACAATTAATAAAAAAATTTAAAAAAAGGTGTGATCATCAGATTTACAATTTTTTCTTTAAACATAAATAAATTTATACATATATAAAGATTTACCTTTGTCTGAAAACAAGCAATTAAATTTATGAGAAATGGATGCTGAGCATCAGTAATGATTTGAAAGATACGCTTCTCTGCCAATAATGTATCAACTTCATTGCGAAATATGATTTCTGCTTTTTTCAACGCTTTTATTGCATAGTATTGATTATTCTCACGATATTGAGCCAGTAAAACTTTACCGAAATGACCACGTCCAAGTACAGCGACAGTGCGAAAATCGATCATACTTAGCACTGTTGTGGGTTTGTCAGGTGGCACTATGGAGGGGGGAAGGGGAGAAGAATGCAATATATATATTCTTTAAATTTGATGATAACAATGAGGGTTTAAATAAAGCAACTGACAATGAAGAAGTCACATTATGAAAAAAAAGAATATATGATGTTATGACACAGGTGTGCAGAAAAAAGGTAAACTTCGAGTTGAAGTAAACGTTAAAGTCAGTGATGAACGTAAGGTGAAGAAAGATCTACTTCTTCAATAGACTCAATTACTGGTTGAATATTTCGTTGTACCATAAAATCAAAAAAATTAGTGAGTTAGTTAATCACAATTCAACTTAGAGACACCGAAGGAATTTACGTATACGACAATGCGATATTTGAATGTGTGACTGACTGACTGGTTTCACCGTAGAACTTTGCGCAGATGTGCTGCAGTAGTTCGAGTTGCCACTCTCGCTCTATGTAGCACACAAAGCAAGAGAAGAGAGTAAAGAGAGATTCAGAAAGAAGAGAGAGATAATAAACAGAAGTATGAAGGAAAAAGAATAGTAATATGGAGGAACAGTAGAATTTTATTGGATATGATAAACTACAAAGAGGGAATGCACTTGAGCCACTGAGAACGACTTTGAGCCGTATCACTAATTGTCTCTAACAACCGGTTCTTACCGTCCCGAGGACCCAAACCAACCTAGAAGTCTACACCTTCCTATATGGCTTAAACTAACTGTTAAGGATTTTATCGACTAATGTCATGTGTGGCGTCGGTGGCACAGCGGTTAGGACGCTCGCCGACCATGCACATGGTCCGGGGTTCGATCCCCGGCCGACGCACTACTTTACCTCGCTAAACCAGAAATAAAGCTGGTAAAGTGGAAAGGTTGGGCATGAGGCTAGCAACCCCATCTTGTAAAAACAGACACTGCTACAGAAACTTCAAGCCTCTAGCTTGAAGCCCTATGTTCCACTGGGAACGTGAAGGAATAAAAAAATTCAAAAAATGTCATGTGTTAAGAGTTATGACACTACTTGGACTACTTTTAATCCTTTATACGTAAATATCATCTGTTATTAAGAGTTCTTTATACTGCATAAAGCCTTTTGAATAGTATAAAAATTACTAAAGCTGTTTCTGTGACCAAGTAACATAGTGTTCAAATCAATTAACAATATAATATTCCATAAAGGTTTACAATCCATGTGTTACATACAAGCTTTGTGCTTGTAAATTCAGATTTCCTACTACTTTCTACAACAGTTTCCAAACATCTAACCCCAGCGCCTGTATTGGAAAGCAGATATCGATCCTCTAACTGTCAGCTGTCTCTCATTTAAAGTAAGGAGGACCTAACAGTTTGACTGCATACAAGTACTTAAAGATAATGGAATGGAATTTAAACTATGGAATAAAACTAAGGCACTAGTTCGTGTAGTCGAATCAGATATAGTGTTAGTTCTATTAACTACTCACCGTCACATTTTACAGGGAAACAAATTTCTTTGTTTCGTTACACGATTTCATCATGAGCTGACATTGGTTAGAGAACCATTGGAAAACCTGGGAGTACTGGACAGCTGTTTCGTCAACCTAGTTTGGGACTCATCAGTACAAACCCACCGTGGTTCAAACCCAGGACCTTCTGGTGACAAGGCGAGCTCGCATACCATTAAGCCACTGGAACCCGATCCAATGGTCCATGAATTCTAACTTCTGCCAATTCACGATATAGCGCAACCGATATCCAATGTCTTCGGCGAGTATTTGTCCTCACACCCGACCTGCTGCACCCTACTGGTCACGACTTCCCACTGGAACCTCAGGTAACTACCAACCTGAATAGGGCCAGTCGCCAGTGAGCGTCTTTGTGGTAACTGCAACCGGATCAGCTTAACCAATGTAGCTTTTATGACCCTAAGATTTATGGTCATAAGACTAAATGGAGCTAGAGAAAGCCAGCATGTTTCAGATGTGAACGAAGGTGAACCGATAGTCTTTCACGGATTCAGGTGTATGCATATTGCATCGCTGGTTTAGTCTACAAGAAATGCTTGTTAAAGTATGACTAGGTTGAAAGACAATTACAACAAAACAAGGAATTATACCAAATTCCCCTTCGGATTAGCCAGTCATTCTCCATCTTGCTAAAACTATAACCATTAGATAGGGAAAAGTAAACAGAAACTATCCTGTTTTGCCTATAATTTACTGGGCAGTAAAATTCTTTAAATAATAATAAATAATAAGTACACAACTTACAAGGAGTGGAAGTTTCTGAAACTGGAGTGAGTGGAGATTGTGGAGCAGGAAATTCTTTACTTTCTTTCTCTGTAGACAATACTACAGGACCTGAATTTGATCGATGTACATCCATATTAACATAATCTGTGTTGCGTGAATTGATATCATTTTGATTCAAATTGGAAAGTATTTCTTTGTTAGTAAGCTCTTCTGGACTAGCATAATCTGAAGTACGTGATGTATGAGGTTTAGAAATAGCTTTATTGTCACCAGAGTATTCAATGACAACTGGTGCAACATCATAATCCGAAGACACTGAACAGTTACTTGAAATAGGTGGACGACGAAATGTTGGTGAGTGAGGAGTGCCGCCAGTGTCCCCAGCCGAAACGGTCTAAGAAGAAGCAAACCAATAAAACAACCTTCAGATAAGTTTGTTACAGTTTTATTGCAACAACAACAACAACATAATTTGGTAAGTTATAATATATTCTACGAAAATTAGGAGTTAGGTGTGCACACTGAAAAAGCAGAACACTCTGAATAACACCAAAATAGCAATCCTACAGTGTCGAATATTATCAGTAAGAAAATCTAAGCCAATATAAAATGTCACCCAAAAAGAGATAAGCACATTTTCCAGAGAGGATACAATCTTAGTTTGGTTATTATTGGTTAATCTCCAATACAAATGCACAACCAAATGTGAATAAAAACGTGAAAACAACAGGTTTTTAACACTCAATTATCACTGCTCCACCGCGATATTAAAACCAAGCAATTTGTTTGACTATACAGATTTGAAAAACTCTCAAAGGCACCTTGAGACACTTACTTTCTCATATGAGATTTTTATCTCAGTCTCGATAAATGGCATTTCTTCGTCAGATGAAGTATCTATTTCACGAACAATTGTAAGTAGTGGACGCTGAGGAGTCGTAAGGGAGGTATTAGATGAACCGTATGACTGAGTGGGACAGGTAGGTTGTGGTGTGTAGGATTTACAACTATTTAGCCGAATTTTTTCATCAACAGCCTATACATACAAGTAAATTCAAAATAGTTAACACCTAGAATATTCAATGAGGAAATCATAAAAAGCTATCCACAGTTCGGATATATATAAATTATCGGTGCTGTGTCATTGTCACTAACACTTCACATTCATAGAAATTATAGGCAATCTTAGTAAATATTATTGAGTAGTGGGGGCATTATTTTATTCACGAAACAAGATGATTTCATCTACACACACTTTTCTTTTTTTATTCCTTTATGTTCCCAGTGGAACATAGGGATTCAAGCTAGAGCTTGAAATTTCGGTAGCAATGGTGTTTATTTTTACGGGATGGGGTTGCTAGCCTCATGTCCAACCTTCCCTCTTTGTCAGTCTTATTACCGGCATAGCGAGGTAGAGGAGTGCGTCGGCCGAGAATCGAACCCCGAACCACATGCGTCGTTGGCCACCAACGCCATCTACACACACACCAACCAATTATAAAAGTAAAAACCTCAAGATTACTATAAACCTTAACTAAGAACCAGAAATGTCTCTCATTAGCCATCAATAGCAAATGAGAAAATCAAAGTAAACAGATATACAATTAGTTTCTTCTTACTTAGATACATGACGCCGAACAATTTCGACGAATAGAACATGACGACTCAATATTAAAGACTGTATATTTCAGTCTGTCGAAACATTCGATTTTGTAATGACACTTAATATAAACAAGTACTCAATGCTTATTGCACAAACAACTGCAGTAATTTTTCAAATTAAAGAAATATTAGGTTAGTTAGATTTGTTATACTCCTGTACATGAAGCGTGCAGGCTCAGGTACTTTCATTGTCCGTTTTGCCATTTGTGCAACAATAATCAGAAATAACATTTCCTCCAAACACTCTATTTTTTCTTTAATCTCTTTACGTTCCAAGCAGACATATGTCTTTCAGCCTTGAAGTTTCAGTGACGGTGTGAAGGTTTCTAGCCTTACACCTAACATTCTTTCTTTTCTGAGCTTACTACTGGCTAGCAAAACTAAGCGAGGTTTAGGTGCGCGTAGACCGAGGGTTGAATCCGAACCACATGTATCGCTGCGGAACATTCAACCACTGAATCACCGACGAATTTTTCAAAAAATACGCTTAGTTAAAAACTACAGGTTTCAAAAAGATAAAATACTTGACAAGCATAGGTAACTCCAGCAAATAGACAATTTTTTTTATTCCTTTACGCCACGAGTGGAACATAAGGCTTCAAACTAGAGCTTTTAAGTTTCAGTAGCGATGGTCTTCATTTTTACGGGGTGAGGTTGCTTGCCTCACACACCCAACCTTCCCACTTTTCCGGCCTTCATACCGGCTTAGCGAGGTTTAGGAGTGAGTCGGCCAGGGATCAAACCCCAGACTGCACGCGTGGTTCGAAGAGAAACAAATAGAGAGACTTAAATGTTCACATGACTCCAGAGTGTATAAATGGAGAAAATTAATAAAGAAAATCTTCAAAAAGCTGAAACCGAATACGCTAATTTTTTTCTTTTTCTTTGATTATAGCTTAACGCCACTCCGTATTTTTGGTGTGTGGTGTGAACATTTTCATAAACGTTTAGCATTTATATTATACACTATTCACATCTTTCATTTTTGTTTAAACCAGATTCTATACTGGAATTATAAAACGAATAAAGCCTTTATTGCGGGCCCTCAATATTCTCACTTGATCGGTGAATGTTTGATTAACTCATAAACACTACATGGTGCAAGTATTGAATTTTTAGCATGTGATTCCGGTAGACAAAGTTTTGCAGGCCAACCATTGATATCAAGTGTGCATCGGTAGGGGATCAAACCCCGGACCATGTGTATGGTCGGCGAGAGTCCTAACCGCTGTGCCACCGACGCACAACTATGATGAAAAACATGTTCACAACCAGTCGACAGAGGTAATGTTCAGTTCTTCCACATAATACATTCAACGGCCCAGCAAAAAGCCGATCGATTATATCAAACGCACTGACAATTTTTTTCATTTTCCTCTCGACGTACATTACGGATAACTTCCAGAAATACGTTTATAAAGCACACACTTTGTGCAGCCAATGTAACTAAATCCATGGAATCAATTAAACTTGGACTAAACACATCAAGTTAGCTCAAAAATTGCAGTTTATCATTAGCATACAATGTGATCATTCACGGACTGGAAAAGTTGACGCGCTATTTATGAAATAATATCCCTCTGAAGTATTTGAATTGTCAATAAAATTAGTATATTTTCTAAAATGCTATCACATAGAATGAGTTCTTCATATGCATCATCCTTAAGCATTTTTGTATGTGTATATATTGAGGGAAGCATGAAAAACCAATCACCAATTAAATCTCTGAATTTCTTTGTCAACCCTGACCACATTATTCCACTTTTACTGATACTTCTATTTACTATGCAGCTTCCGCTGATCTAAATTACTGAGCTTCCTCTTATGAAAAGCCGAATTTAATAACGAAGGCAAGTGTAGTTGTATATTCTCGAAATCAAAATAAACATTTGTCTAATCAAATAAACTGTTTTTCAACAAAAAAACAAAAACCGCTGTCGCCTGTAAATAACTTAGTTGGAACTAATTCGCTTAACTATAACTATGATGATCATGATGATGATAGTAAACTTTTAAAAATTTCGAACCGCCAAAACTGAAGAGTATTAACCATAATCTGTAGGTCACTCTACTTATTATTGTACTGTGTAGCAGTAGTAGTAGGTAGTTATTCAGGTAATTAATTCCAGATCAATAAATTCTAGAACCAAACATATCACACACACAAACACTCATACATTTTTGTCTTGGCTAGTATCCAACTGTTTTTGGTAAAAGAAAGCAATTGCACTCTCGTCAACTAAATGGTAGGTTAAACTGGTTATTTATTGATTTTTATAAGATAAAATTTGTGCAGAAGAAAACCTTATTGGAAATGAAATTCGATATGTTAAATGGTATTTCTGTCGAACTGCCATATATATATATATATATATATATATATATATATATATATATATATATATATATATATGAGAATAACTGATAATAAGGTCGGTCACGTGTAACTTTAGTAACAGAAGCTATTTTTCTTATCTAGAAAGAAACAACTGGAGCGAAGTAATGCATGAAATTTCTTTCATTTTTTTCAATAAGACAAATCACTAAGTGTAAAAAGTGTGACAGCATAATTCAAGCTAATCATCAGCAAGACAAAAGATCATTTTTTATTACAGCTTCACGCCACACCGTATTTTCAGTACAAGTATGGAATTTTCAGCATGGATATCGGTAGCCCAAATTTTGCAGGCCGACCATAGATATCGGTTGTGCGTCGGCAGGGGATCAAACCCCGGACCATGTGAGTAGTTTGTATATTTTAAAAGGTAAATGTAAAAATGTAAAACTCACATGAGCAAGAACCGGTGAATCATTAAGAGATGTATTCAACTGATGGAAACGACCTTCCAGACCATGCATCAATACAGATCCTGAAGAACCATATTCTCCTGAATGACTTAGTGTCCAAGAACCACCACCACCAACAGATCGATTCATTTTAGACAATTGACCACTTTTGAGCATACGAGTCCATAAGGGGATATTCATATCGAGTTCATTAATACGTGGAATATTGTGACCTTAAGAGAGAAAAAGAGGACAAGAAAATTTGTTTAGCATTTTCTCCCAAAAAACTATCCAACTTGTAATCAACTTATTTTTGTCAAATAATTGCCAGTATCAGAGAGAGAGAAACTAAAAATTATGAAAATGAAAAGTTCAATAGATGGTTTTTCCAAGTATTATTCAAGTATTGGTTTGTAGGGATTTGGTTGTTTGTTTACAGGATTTTATCATGAGCTGACATTGGTTAGAGAACCCAGGTAACTACCTACCTGAATAGGGCCAGTCGCCAGTGAGCATCTCATTGATATTCAAGTATCGGGTCCCAGTGGCTTAATGGTATACGAGCTCGCCGTGCAACTAGAAGGTCCTGGGTTCGAACCCCGAGGGTGCGTACTGATGAAGAGTCCCAAACTAGGACGAAACAGATGTCCAGTACTCCCAGGTTTTCCAATGGTTCTCTAACCAATGTCAGCTCATGATGAAATCCTGTAAACATTTATAGTTCCTAGTAATAATTGGGCACTGACTATACGCAGATATTCGATCATTAACCAACGCTTAGCAAGTTAGTAAGGTCAGCAGAGAGGATAGGTTGGACGTCAAGATAGTAGTAACCCCACCCCGTAAAAATAAGACCACTGCTACCGAAACTTCAAAGCCGTAACTTGAAGCCCTATATTCCACTAGGAACGTAAAGGAATAAATAAATAAATATTTAATAATATGCGCGCACGAATACTATGATAAGTTGTAGTAGTCATATGTCTGTCACTAATGAAATTCTGAAAGCAAGCTCAATTAGAAGTCGGAAGGAAGTAAACTCAGTTCTCGGAACAAGTATTTCATGTTTCAAGCTATGAGCGACACTTATTGTGTTAAGACTGATGATGCTACTTAATTATCCAGACTGAAGTAGGTGGAGCGGGAATCGAACCCGGAACTCACACAAGTTGAAAGCCTAGTCTATGAGCCATCTCTGCCATGAGATTAGTCCTTGATTAATCACACCATTTTAAAATCAAACATTATGGATATGTTCTGTCCACAAAATCTCACTACATGTAATACACTTAGTTTGACAAGAGATCATTACAATACGTGACAAATGTTGCTTTATACATACAATGTATTGCGTGCATACCATTCGAAATTGCCACTAGATGTGACACCTAATTAACCGACTACAAGTATGCTACAAATAACCAGTGAGTATTATGCACTGCATGATTACTTCAGAAACATGTGTGTTCATCAGTGATATGAAAGTAGAATTTCGGCACTGTGGTAGAGTATGATTCCATAACGCCGTTATATCAAATAAAATTATGCTATTTGTGTAATGGAACTGGCCAATGCTTAAGCCATATAAAAACGGAAATACAAAACCTAAAGCATAGCTTTATGTTTTACGAAATCCAGTCACGTGTTTCTGACAAATATGGTTTCAAATATATTGTTTAGCCACCGTAACCTACATAAATCCGATCGATTTACACCAGAACATTGATATATTACTAACGGGTAGAATATCGGATTGAAATAAAGTTTAAAGAGTGGAATTATTAATGGATCAGATATGCGACAATAAACAAAGCAGTTGAAGTCATTTTTGCAAGGCTCCAAAATTGTAATAAGGATTCGCGAAGCGATAAGATCAGTAGTCCCTCCTTAATTTGATAAACTTCAAACCCCAAAATTGGTTTAAGTCAGTAATAGTATTGAATTACGGACCATAACCTTTACTTTTTCATTATTGTAAGTGTAGAACTTGGGTACCGTGGTAAAATTTAATTCCATTTAAGATAAGTTTATTTTAATAATCACACAGTGATGCAGTATTAAAAACTGGATGACAAAGTTTCAAGCATAAATTATCGCTCATAATCATATCAATTTTAATCACACAGTCTCACAATTTGTCCTATTTATGTTTTCTCTCTTTCTATCTCTTCAACTTTCCTTTGTTGTTTGTGCCCACTTTCCATATCTCCGGTATAGGCGTTGTGTCATTCCGATTGCATGTGTGTGGCGTCTGGCTATAGTTTTATGTTCCAATAATCTAGTTGACCCCGATCTACTAGTCTGACCTATGTAATTGACCTCACTAACAGTCAATACGTGGTATTTAGTAAATTATATTATTTTTCCTAATTTGATCTATTGGGTTCTTAAACCGACAAAGTTTATCTCTGAGAGAGTTATTTCGCTGGTTTAAATGCCACCTTAATTCCAGTCTCATTGGGAATTCTATGTTATTTTCGTTATTTTTTATCGCTAATCTTAGTTTTCCATATATTTTCTGAATAAATTCTGGTGGGTAGTTGTTCACTAATAATATTTCCCTTATCTGTTTGAAATGAAACCAATAACCACCTAAGGTAATTTTAAGCCATTTTCACCTGATAAACACTTAAATATAAAGGAACGATACTTAATGTAAACAGTTTTATTTCAAATAATCAACACAACTGGAAAAAAATAGTCACTTCAAACCACCCGGATACAACCAGTAGAGAAATATAACCAACTAATCTAAGCACAGTAACTTTTGGTGAATGAATTTGTGGATTTAAAACTATCCATCTACTTCTATTTCAGTTAGTCAGAAATCATCCTTATCCCAGACACAACAAAATAATCAACACAGTGTACAGGAATTAGTGCACGGTTACTTAAATTGCATCAATCTAATTACCTTTTTATGACAAAGGATTACTGCAAATCAGATAAATAAATTACGCTACACAAAACTTTTAGTAAAAAAAATAAATAAATATTGTTAAGCAACAAAATCATACCTTTGCGTTTGGAAAACAAACGTTTTTGACGATGTAAATTGCACCGTGGTTTCGAAAGAAGGGGATCAGAGAATTTAACGACAAGGAAAACCTTTCCCTTCGGTAGCATAGGAAGAAGTACGGAACGTGAATCACCACTGAGTAGTTCCTCTAGACGTAAGTAACTATAACATAAAATAGAAGCAAAAAGAAAAGATCACTTGAATAGCTGAAAAAAGGCCTGGCATACTTAGTAAGAGTATCCAAAAAAAACACGTCAACTACATACTTTACAGCCGCCAATACCCATTCGAGTCCAGAACCAGAATCATCAAATGATCCACTTTTATTTGAAGCAGTAGATGCTGAAGGACTGGTTGAGTTGGATGAGTTTGACGGAAGAATCATACGTTTCCAGTATACCTGAACTTCTAGTTCTTTGCCTCGATCAATACTGAAAGTGGTTTTTGCATCCCAACACTGTTGATTAGGCTGCCGCCATGGCGAGTCCCAAACGCGTTTATGATCGACGAGTAAAGAGCATCGAACATCCACTGAGAATAAAAAGAAAGTAATTCTATGTAGTGACTTAATATTCATGCAAGATCAAAACCACTGAGTGATGTTAAACATACAGCTTTTATTGAAGAGTGCTACTTTATTTTACAAAACCAAAAATTAGAATACCTGGAGAGAGAATCAGTAAGTCACGTCGAAGTGTAATAGGCAGTGAATCTCAGTGCTGATCGGGTTGGAATATTATCTGTCACAGAGCATGAAAACTCCGTAATTGAAATTACCGTCAATTTTAAGGACACTTAAATCAATAGGAGAAATGTTTAAATGATAAAGTGCTCATCTTTTATAAAGCAGTTATAGATGTTGGCTCTTTTTTTTGTTTGCAGCACATTCTGAACAGACAAGGTATCATAAATTCTCTGGATATTGATGATTAGCATTTCAGCAAATACACATAATATCATCCGGCTTTCTGCTGCCTAAACCTCGAATTCTTCAGGATATTTGCTAACAAGCTGCAAACACTAATGCTTTCAGTCCATCGGCCTTCACACTGAATAATGACTAGGTTTCATAGGTTTTCCCCGCAACTTATGAGCAGTAATGTACTTGAGATCTACCAACTGATAGATAGATAGATATGTAGCTGTATGTAACTCGCAAAAATTCCATTTCTCAAAGCAGAATATTTTCAGAAACCAAAAAACGACTTTACTTGGTCATCAATGCTTATCCACACTTGAAATCAGCTTACTGAGACATAAATAGTGACAAATAAAAAATTTGCCATACTCTACCTGAGTCCACCAGAAGTTACGTTTTGGTGCAACACAATTGTTTTTAGGATATGAGTGACAGTAAGAGATAATATATTGAACATTATGTTGATTAGAAATCTCTTGAGAATCATAACAGGATTGCAATCATCCACTAAATTAAGCAAGTATAACTACGCTAGTGGATTCTAATTTAAGCGAACCCACTCGCCCAATACATAGAGAGAGAGAGAGAGATTGAGACTTATTTAGAAATCAGTTAACCGGAGCAGATTCCTTATATGTCCAACTATGAGTTACGTCTAAGAGCTGATGATATTATCCACTCGTCTAAGATAAGTTAGATGGAATGGGACTCGAACCCAGAACACATTGGTTGAAAGTTCAGTGATTAAATCAATGAGCTCCAGTCTAGAAGTGAAAAATTAATTTTATCATTCGGCCTAAAGTTAATTCTAGCTAATTCGAACACTAAAATCATGAGGCCTTTGAATGGTCGTATTTGAACAAGGCTAATTTTCAAAACTGCACGAAAATCATGAGACTTAACAATTATCACTGACATTTCAACTTTTTTCTGACCACAATTGTCTGTTGTTTCGTTTTATACCGAAATGTACATTACTGGTAAAAGCGTCAAAACTGGATGATATGTGCAGCTCTAAAGTGATCCTAAAACAAATAAAAACAAGCTTCATTCATAGAATGAAACAAGTACTTACAACTCATCACTTATATAAATTCGTCACATGACTATGGTGAACAATACTCTCCTAGCACATGAATGAGATAACTGAGTCCACTCTTCATCAAAAAGCATGATATGTAGATCGGTAAGTGTTGCAAATGTTTGTTTGCAGTAAATATGAGAAGTATATATGTATTGGCTTCGATGTTTTTCTGTAATTATTTGAAAATATGTATTCAATGCTTTGAACCGGGATATGACTGCCACCCAAATTATAATCAGTTCACACTAAATAAACACTTCACAACTTTCAGTTTTTATATACATTGAGCACAATATGAGAAAAGGGTGAAAATTCAGAGGCTTTTTTTGACTAACTTCAACTTTGTAAAGAGGCATAGACGCACAACAAAGTGTATAGACTGGAATGAGTGAAATGGAATTTAATCAGAATATACATCTTGTGAACTATATCAGTTTCGCTTAACTCAACCATGATATTCTCATAAACGCGAACTACTTCAGCATGCAATTCTTAATGGATTACCATCATTGAGAAGCAGTTCAAAATAGTTTGAAATTTTGGAAAATGGAAAGTTGAGCAAGTCCCTTGGTTACTTTTAAAAAAATAAAATTTCACAAATCTACCCTTCTAGTAACATAAATCAAATAAAGGAATTACTCGCATAACATAATTTACAACGCAATTCAAACAAGTGTACACTACATAATAGCTTACCCCAATGATTATCTGATATACGTGATGTCATAACTGTTTGGATCGCATTAATCCCTTTGTTGGTCGATGTGCCTGAAAGTTCGTTATTTACAAGGTCTGCTGGAAACACATCCACAATATCCTGGCAACCTAAACATCGAACTTCCAGACTGCCGGTAATCGCAGTAGGTGGGTTTGGTATCGTCAGTGAACTATTTGCATGGAACGAAGTATTAGACCACGGCGGAGATAATAGTAAAGTCATTTCTGGGTCATCGACAATAGAAGAAATCATTTCGGATGACTGTGTTGATGGTGGTCTTTTCAGAAGTGGTTTTATTGATTCTTGAAATAGGTAAAGCCTGTGGAGTGATTCACGAGCCTCCTGAAGAACCTATAAAAAGTCAATGGAAAGTAAAATAACAACTGAAAAACAAGCATGAAAATAGAGTGCAAAAATGCCTACAGGTTTAACTGAGTAGTTGAAATGTTAAATTCCATCTTACATTCCGAGGCATGGGATAATGTTATCCTCCTTAATACAACACGTCCTGCTGTAAACTAAAGATAAATCCGTAAGTAGTTAGTGAGTTGACTTAACAGTGTGTGCCACTGAGCGAAAGGTTCATTTTTACTTGTAAGCCGATTACCTACGTTATTACAATAGTTTTTAGCCTTTTATAGGTGAATATTTAACACATCTAATTAACGGGCACACTTGTTTCATAAAAGACTAACATCTTTTAAATAAATACTTCAAAAGTTACTTCGTAGGACAAACCATGACCTAACTACGGAAATGTGTTTAGGTGATAGATAACAGCCTTATAGCTAGAAAGTAACCATGATATATTAGTATTAATCGTCTGTCGTTTGAGTAGAAAATCACACATATACTGAAGATATTATTCTAAAAGTGTGCACAATCTTCTTCAAGAAAAAGTGTACGAGTCACGGCAAGGAATTCATATCCAGAACACAATAGTGGACTACAAATATATGTATATATATGCTTCGAAAAGTGCACCCCAAGCGAACGATAGTTACATATATGAACAGATGGAGAAATGTGGGCAGGGTACTGCGCGTACCGCGATGCTTAACAAATTAGCATAAAGACACAATAAAATCGTATCAAGCAGACACTTTTGCAGATGTTGGTGACACTCCACGAGAGTTCATGGGACAGGAGAAAAAAGAAATGAAGTTGAAAATAGTTAAGAACAGTGCTACAGCGCTATGGTTTCTGAAAACATGAATGTTGTAGTTAACTTTCTTCCAACACATATGACAAAAAAAGATAAAACCCAAAACCATACCTGCAGTTTTCTGTATTTATCTACATGAGCTTGATTGTCCAAAACGGCATTAACAGCCTTCCGACTACCAGTGAATAAAGCACGTTCAACTCGTAAACGGTGTGCCAACTCTATCACTTTGTCTTTCCATATTAGAAAATTCTCTTGGTTGTTAGACACAGATGTCGTCATAGAACCGTTAGTTTTAGCTGTATCAGATAAACTGTCCGCACCTGACCCAAGGGATGACGTATCTGACTGGAGGAAAATTAGACGTCAACAAATTATGAATGATCCCAGTATGAACAAAATGGAAACAGAAATATGCTAAGATTGTAATAGTATGTATAAAAATGTACTAAATAAGGAATAACAGAGTATTTGACAACACACACACATTATTAAAATGGGTCGTAATATTAAGATGTGCTGGCAAAGTGGTTACACATCTGTACATAACACGTGGTGCACAATCGACTGACTTGTATTGAATTACATCAGTACTTATCTTTTTCCCACCACATTTGAAGAACATTACTTCCTCAGCGCACTGCAATTTAACAGGCATATGTGGCAGCCACATAAGATTTCGAAAGAAGTTATTTTCAATGGGGAATAGGACGTCTCACTGAGGTCACAAATATTGTCACTTTACAAGCACCGAGCGAGTTTTTTTCTAGGCACTAGCCCATTAAAAGGACTCCATATCCTAAGTAAGCATAATAAACCTTACTCTAAAATGAAATAAAATTTTTTGAAGTAATGATTGAAAAACGGCAAAGACTTTAACCAGTTATTCACAGTACATGATACCAGTTCATATCAAGAACAAATGAGAATTACTACCCATTGCAGTGCTATTATTTTAATATCCACAAGATAGTATGCAATTCCATTCAATTCAACCATTCGTGAATGGGATATCAACACTCAGTGAGCCACATCCACCAAACAGTGAATCATCTACAATACTATGAAGAGCTATTGCAGTAGTCTAAAATACAGTCTATGCGTGGTCACTGAATGATCTAGATGAATTCATGAATGTCAGTTATTTACAGTTTTTCTTCCACATCCTTATAGTAAGCTAGATCACATTTTTCGGATATCTTTGGGAAGAATGTCATGCTTTTAATACAACCCGAGTAACTTTCTGGTCCAATTATTTTATTATACAAGATGTTGCAGTGCAGTATGACTTGCACTTGACAATGCAATACACGAAAGAATTACTATTCTCTGTTAAGCTACAAAGAACACGCTGCACACCCATCCACGTGCAGAATAGAATAGAATTATTTAGACTTTGTACTCTAGGTTGTTTTTAAATACCTCCAAATGGATACCACCTGCTTAGCGACAAAAGGCAGTCACCTTTATCAACTTTTATTTAGCCAAATTGAAGATGGAGTACACATGATAGATGCCAATCATCAGTAACTAGTAATAATTATTTTGACGAAAATTGATGAATATGCTCATAAAAGCATACTCTGTTCTCATCATTTTCTAAACTTGAATAAAAAATGATTAACATCAAAATAGGAAAAACTAAGGTAACAAAGACAAGTTCTTCGTGTAACAGGCTATGAACCACACTTGTCCGAGAACGGACGAGTTAGGTGGATTGGGATACCCCAAAGATCAAGAGTAACTGTATATTTACTCAACCACTCCCCGAGCCAAAGCTAAGCTTGAAAAACTCTCAAATTCACTACTTAAAAGTCTCTGGCTGGTAGACAGGATGGGGCATACCTTTGAATGCGTGGTGCTGTACCATTTCACAAGACACCTATATTCCTGCTGTTTGAAATCATTATTCACTAATACGAGCAGCTTTTAGCAACTTATTAGTGCAAAATAAATAACAGTAACAAAGAAATACTCCGCTTTTACATGCTTGGCGTTCGTTATGACAAAAAATATGTAAGTAGGAATGTACTCGGACTATCTATTCGGATAGTTACTAGTACTTTCATGGTTACGTATGACTATTAGAGAGAAGTTAACAAACTGTATCATGTTTGATACGCGGATATGAATATCGACTCTCACTGACTGGTTTCAACATAGAAATTTGCACAGAAGTGTAGCAGTTCCAGTTGCCACACTCCACGTAACACACCGAGGACGACAAAAGAGAGAAGAGATGCGAGAGAATGATAAGAAGCAAAAATGTGAAGAAGGCAGTGATATGGAAAAACAACAGGGTTTAGTGGATATGACAGATCACAAAGAGGAATACATCCTAGACACTGAGGATGATTTCGAGCCATATCACTAATAGACTCTAGTCATTGGTGCATAAAGTCCCGAAGACCCTAAATCGGTAGTCTGCACCTCTCTACATGCCTCAAACTAACTGTCAAAGATTCCATGGACTGATTTGACTACCATTAGCTACTTTTAACAACCTGATCTTATATCAGCCTATAATATTGCTCTTTGAGGAAGGCGACGGTTAGGACATAGGTTACGCATGCCTAGCCACCTCAATCTATGTAGCTTCACAACTTATATCGACTCAGATATCCTACTGATAAAAGCCTTGGTAGAATATCAAGAATCAGATAGCAGTAGATATCAGTTAATATGCAGTTAGTCCCTTTTAACTTCCTATGTATACTTAGCTACAACATAGAAAATAATACACACATGCATCCAAGACTTACCGTCCGGAAAAGGAGTGAAGCAGAGAGAGTAGCAGCAGTAAAAACAAAAAGCACATAACAAAATAAACAATAGGACTAGCAAAAACACCAGAATATCTGTTCTGGTTGAAGTGACTCCGAGGTACAGACATTACAAACTGATGGACAGTATTGAGAAAGTCTGTGGCTTACTAAGCTCCTGGAATCAACGTTTTTACTACCCCCTCAGAGTAAGAGACGTGTTTAAAACTAAAAAGATACTTGTTCATAGCGTTTGTTGTCTGTATGCAGAAATAGATGCAATTAAATGAACTATGTTACAGTTATTACTGCACAAATAAACACCTCAGGGGCGAATAAGTTTATTTTGAAGGTTAATTTAATGAGTCATGAAATGTTTACCTGGCAAAATCCTTCATTCATTTGTTTCACACGAATCATTTGATTACGAATAAATCCAATTTTGTTGTTGGCATTTTCATACTGTTTCTTAGCTTCATCAAGAATATGACGAGGACCTGATTTATAAGTCTGAATTAGACGCTCTGCCCCACTGCGAACCTAAACATGGACAAAAACTGAAAACATGAACAGTTCACTACCTGCAACTCTATATCCAAGGCTTTTTGCAACTCTCCCAGACGCTGTTCTATGCTATCGCAACCACCAACTGAGTTGGCAACAGAATTCTGGCAATCTGTGAAATGGATGTATAAACATCAACTGGACATATAATTACCTAAACTGGGTTGGTAATGCTTTAGTAAAAGAAGCGACGTTTCTAAATCTCCGATATCCTCTGCCAAGTCTTGAACGTCACTGTTAATTCCTTTAATGACTTCTGAAGTGGTGACACGACTAGATCTTCGATCCAAGGTGTAACTTTCTTTAGGTCCAGATAAAATTGGTCCATTTATGAAGTCGCTGCTTGAACGAACGACAGCAGAAAAACTCCCACCCGCAGCATCCTGTAACTTCTGTACCCCAGCTTTCATTTTATAAAGCTTTTGCAGATCTGAACGCTTGGAATCAAGCACATTTTTCAGTTCTTCAATTATAGAATGATACGGCAAATGGGGGTTAATTTTATAATGAGCAGCTAGCTCACGAGCATATTCCTCGTGCTCCTTAATTTCCGTCATATAAAACTATGAATTTACCATGATTGAAACTGCACTTCACTCGAAATTAAATAAAATGGCAGAACTTGTTGCGACTTCCCAAATTAATCTGCCACATGAAATCACCAAAAGCGTGAACAAAGTTAAAATCTTGGGGTAAACATCAGTTGGTTATTACGCGCGATTGTCAAAGTGGTAAAAAAATATCGTGATTAAACAGGAGACAACAATTAACATTTTGTATTGTTATAATGATATATAAAAAATCCCCAGTATCTAATTTCATGGTTGTTCAATGTCCAATGAACTACTAGCAATTGCTTGCAGGTAATACTATTGTGGTTATTATGCAAAATCAGGGAATTATTCGTTTCTTAAACCACATTTACCACTGATATTTTGTTTCCATGAGACTGATTCTGAAAATAAGAAACGTCTTACTTAGATGTATTTTCATCCCTTTGAAACAGATACTGCAAGCAAACGGAAGTTCATCGATGTTTGAAACTAATGTATATATATATATGCCCAGTTTGAATACCTGATGAGAAAGACATTTTTAGTTTAGTTCACTGGTGATTTGCGACGAAGTAGTTACTAATACTATGCTGTGTTTTTGATAATAGAATAAAACTTGTGCACTGTGGTAGAGTATAATTCCATTGTAGGTAAAAAAAATTTTAGATAAAGTCTCACAGTGTTATACAGTAGTATTTACTGATGACGTTTCGAGCACAATTAATTGCTCATAATCATATTATATCACCTTGATACAATATAATAGGTTCTTTCTCGGAAATATTTCCAATAAAATTACTGCTCATGATCACACCAACTATTGGAATTTTTTTAAATGCACACTTTTATGATTTTTAACCATATGTGTGGTATATTTTTTCTCCATTCATTTTTGTGTATCCAGAATTATATTCCATTTTGTCGACAGCTGTGTTAAATTCCCAAGTTACACAAATCCGACGTGACCCCAATGAATAAAGATTCTGTTATTAGTCGATCTTATTATTTATAATAAAGGTTTTTGTATTTCCCAATGAATGAAAAACAAAACGATATTGTTTTTACTGACGTTTCGCTATTTAATGCTAATAGCTTTATCAAAGTCTTATTATTTGTTCATATTAGATTTCAGGATACAGACATTAGCTATTCGATATTGTTGTTTTCGCCCCATGCATATGTAAGCATAGAAAGAAACGTCTTTTAAATTACTGTAAGCTCGTATTCCATTGGAATAACTTTTAGCTAGGTGTTGAAGTTCATTCACGATTATTTTGAGTGATCTAGACGTTTGACCCACATATTTGGTCAGACATTTTGGCACAAGACATTTTGTTAATTGGATTTTTTATGGATAATTTTTAGTGGATCTCTTAGGTGATTAATTTTTTTTTCTAAATAGATTCCTTGCTTTAAACATGGTACAAGTCCCGATATTTTTGAGATTCCTTTGAGTTTTTTTTTTTTTTTGATTTACAGCTTGATTCCACACCGTATTTTCAGTACAAGTTGACTCTTATGTACCGTTTCTATGGCATTGTGACCGTCTTCTTGTCATCCTCATTCCTTTTATTCCGTGGTTTTACTCTCTTTTTTCTCCTTAATATTATCTCTGATAAATTCTTTCTGGTCATTGGTACCGAGCAACATTTTGAATAAGATATTTGTTTCTTTTCGTTGATCCTCTGGTGTTGTTGCAAGTCTGCTTATTCTGTCAGCAAGACCTTGTATTACCCCTCCCTTTGCCAAAGCCTTCTATCCAACCAATTTACAGTACAATTTTTCGAAAACAGATAAAACGGGGAGTTCCGCTATTTTCCCTGAAAAACATCAAATTGTTCCCTTGTTAATTCAATCACAAAACAAAGCATTTCAAGATTGATTAAACCCAGTTCACCTTCACTTTTAGAATGAGTGATCTGAAATGTTCATGTTTAGCATGTGACACTTCGTGCGAATGGAAGCCATATAATATGGCTTAAAAGGACGTGTAAGTGCAAGAGTGAATGATTGATTTTCTAGCATTCTCAGGTATGACTCCTTGAGTAAGTGGGTTTGAGAGGCCATGAAGTCATATCACGTCTATATTAACTACTTCCGGAAGTGCCAATAAAGCATTTTAGCATGTCAGCCCTGGGTAATCTGATTGGGAGTTCAGAATGCAGAACTCACCTAACGGGTTTAAAATATATGATACATGTAACCACGGAATGAAATTAAATGCATTTTAAAATTTCTGGTATAGTTCTTGAAGATTTCTGCTTGATAGGTATTTTCATTATGCCTGATTAGTGGCAATCGCTTAGTTTTTAGCATAAGGAGCAAATTAAAGCCATTTTTCCAGCGCTTCATATACTGGGGCTCCACATATCAGGAGAAAAGATTCCTCCCCATGAATACCCTGGAAACACCGAAGGACATTGTAACTCGAAAGTTAATCTGTCCTTAATCCTTAACTCTTTCCGTATTTTCGATCAAGCTATCATTTAGACGCACCATTAAACTAGGATACCTTTCGGTGCTAAAACGATGTCGCTGACTTTCAAAATCGGCTTCTGTAAAAGTGAAGTTTGTGCCGGATCACGAATTAGCTAAAGCATACTATAACTCAGCACTACCTTTCAAAGCTGTGAAATATGCTTCAGCCTAAAGACCTGAAGTACTAACTTCATGCTTTTCCGGATAACCTATAGAAGGCAATCATTCGTGCCTTGTAGGGACGTAGTACATCTTTAGGGGTGAAATACAGGTAAATTGAAAAAGGATCCCCGGCTTTAGTCTTGGATGTGAGACGTGTTCAAGAGGCTATTTGTGACAGTAGACATACTGGGTAGACTGGCCGCAAGCCGTCACCACTGGTTTTTCACTCGAAATTCAGTGTTCCTGTATGTGCATCCAGTTAGCTACAAGCTGAGTAATCATCTCTGTGAGATACAATTTTGGTATGGAGTGTAATGGCCTCAAGTTGATGTGTGGATAACACTTTCACAGTTTTAAAAACAGAACACATCTCCAGCTTCTTGTCACATATTAGCTCACTATTAAGGGGAATAAAATTCACATTTGAATCTGCAAATGAACAGGGAGATTTAGTTATATTAGAGTGTAAAATAAAATGAATGGAGGAAGGTAAACTGTACACTAGCATTTGTAGAAACCAACGCATTCTAACGGATATTTTGAATTTAACTTATTTCATCCGTTATCTGTGAAGGTAGGCTTAGTTAAGTGTCTGTGTAACAAACCGAGCAATAGCACTAAAAATACGACAAGAAACCTAAACGATGAAATAGAACACATAGAAAAGGCGTTGGTGTTATATAAGTAAATATCCTATAAAATTCATTAGGAATTTCGAAAAAGGACAAAAGCAAAATAATAATAATGAAGGAACTAATAATAACATAAATGAGAAAGAACATAGGGCATCCACAATTATACCGTATAAGGAGGATACATCTGAAACCCTACGTAGGATTCCTCATGAAGCAGGAATTAGGGCGGCATTCAGACTCACTCACATAGGACAAGCTCTGTAGGTTGAAGGACCCGGTGGACCCAATTAAACAAAATAATATGATTTACAAAATACCTTGCAATGATTGTGAGTTAAGTCAACTACATAGGTCAGACTATTAGATCGGGAGTAGTGCGATTGTCAAAACATAAGAATTTAGCCAGGGTTAGAATGCTTGACCCCACGAAGATAAGTAATTTAGAGAAAAACTCAGCAATCTCGCCGAATGCATTAACACGCGAACATACGATAGGGTGGGACACAGTCAAAATTCTAAAATGTAATATAGATGGGTGGAGAGAGAGATTGGTTACTGAATCCTGGTTCATTGAGTCTACACCCAGCACGTGCAATAAGAAAAACGCATTATTCATACCTGAAATATGGAAATACTACTACCAATCAAATCAAGCGGTGGAAAATAATGGAATAATATTAACGAAGTTAGAAAGTTGTGTGAGTACTTTGATATCATTATGAGCAACAAACTGTGCTCGAAACATCATCAGTAAATATTACTGTATAACACTGGGAGGCTATAGCAAAATAAATTTTACCCAAAATGGAAAGATACGATGCGGTCAGATAATGTGTGGCACTAAAGCTACCAGTGGAACTTAGACTAACTACTAGTCACTTACCCAGTCACTGCCATCACAGTCAAACCGAAGTTCAATATGTTGTTACATATGTTACTGAGTACATTTAAGTTACACAAACGACAAACTAGCAAATTAACGGGGAGAGAAAATAGTGTAAGAAATCATTTTTCTTGAAGGGTATTGATAGTAGCTTTTCGTGAAGAGGTATGTTCTGTGAGCAGCCACAGGATAACTCAGAAGTGCTTCTTTAAGAAAGCAGTTAGTTACGCTGCCTGAACGACTCCGAGCTCGTTTCCTATCGGCTTCAAATGGAAATATTGCTCACGACTGTTGCGTAATCTCCTATCCTGCCAGACCTTGACCTTAAGCGCACTACCTGCCGACGGTCTGGCCTGGCCCACCTATCTTGCTGGCCAGCTGCTCCAGACACTGCCCTGACTGGAGAATGCAGATTATAACCATTACAACTGTTCAGGGATGCATTTATTAAGGATGTTATAAACACAGTATGGAGATATACATCACAACACAACTCACAGCTGAGCTCTTGTTCTTCGGAAACATAGTTAACTGCAATCTAATCCAGTTAGCAGAGGTAAAAGACTGACTTTTGAAAGCGAAACGACTGATATTTAACTGAATAGACGCTCCTTTGGTTCGCAACATTTCAATCGGAAGAAACACTGCGTTGATATTGAGTACTGACCTATCACACAATTCTGTGATCACTGTTTGGTATTTTATAATTGTCCACTCTTCAACCTGCATTGCTGTATCACTTCTTACCTGAATAGTTCTTCACTATTAGCTGCAATTCTCCCAACTCTATGGAATGTTTTTCTGTATTCTCATGTAGGTTTCTCATTGGCCAATTAAATCGAGAGAAATATAGGAGGAAGTTTTCTAGTGTTCATCATTGTCAAAGAGTATATTAGTGGATATTTAGCTACTGTTGCATCTTTCATGAGTAAGAGGTGGAGACTCATGATAGGGCTACCACTGTACTTGACTCAGGCCACAAAGCTTGTGCTTACTG